TGCTACTGCTACTGCACTACTACTACGAATACTGCTGCTGCTGCTGCTGCTGCTGCTACCTACTACTACTACTACTACTACTACTACTGCCACTACTCCTGCTCCTGCTGCTGCCGCCACGACCATTAGCTCATGCTTTTATTGGTTCCAATAGCTATATTAGAAGCACGACCGACATGCCACTGAGGTGCGTTTCGTCCGGTCTCTCACACGTAGAGCAACGAAACTCGGCGATTGGACTCAGTAAGCGGGTCTGGGTAGATGCGCAGGGAGATCGGGAGCTGAGTGGGTACGGTGCAAGCAGCTGCAAAACAGGGCTTGTGATTCTTGGACCCGCCAGAGTGCAAGTTCGAGCGGATGCGGGGGTGGGGGGGGAGTTTCGGACATATACGGCCCAGAAACTTAGGCTTTCACTGAAGTGCGATCCGCATCGCTCAGGAAGTCGCCAAAGACGATGCGAATTCCGGAGATGCCAGTTCAGGTTGGAGCAGCTTCGATTTCCCCCAAAAGGCTATCATACATCTACTGCACACGCGGAGGTTTGGCTCTGTATGTATTTATATTTATAAGTATATCGGTTTACATATATGGTGTATGAGCTTTGGGGTGTTCTCATGTATGCATGTTCAGGAGGTTGGGTGATGTAGCTATGCAGCAGCAGCCGTATTGGCATCACGGTACTGAGACTCAAATTCCCAGGCCTCGCCTACATTCTCTCTCCAGCAGTTAAGCCCCGTTGCCAAACCTTGTGGTTCTTCTGTCCCGCTACACCGGAACATCCCAGAAAGCTATAGAGCCCTGAAGAAAGCCTGAGAGCCGTAAGTTCTCGCCCCTGATGGCTGCGACTGCCTTGGCGACATACAAAACTTCAAAACGCACTAGCCCGCTGGACCGGAAAGAGCCCGGTGGATCCCGGTGGTATATCTCTCTAAATTTCGACAACACCACCCTATCACTTAAACCCTGGAGCTGAAACCCACAATCCCCAAACCCTCTCAGCTCTCAGCTTCCAAACCCAAAACCATGAAGCCCACACTAATCCTAAACCCTATAGACTAGAACCCTTTGGAGAACCCCACAACAAAAAAGCAACATAAAAGGCTCCCAGCTGTCTGTAAACAGAGCAGGAGAGCGAAGAGGAGAACTCGGATTTCCACGGCGTAACGAGGGGCGAAAGCATGGACTCCAAAGCGACGCAGACAGTCACCGAGGCGCAGATGTGAGGCCTCCAATGCTCGACGCGCGCTTCGAGAGGGTTTTGAGTTTCAGGGTAATCTAGGTTTTCATGTCTCTATAAATGTCGTATGGGTTCAGGCTGTACGGTTTCAGGGCTTTTGGGGGTTTGGGGTTTCAGGAAGTTGGGTGTTGCAAGTATGACTGAATAGGCGGTTGAATCGGTTCCAATATAATCTCAAACACCCCCAAGTTTGCTTGCACCTTCATTTCGTCGCGTATAGTCTTGCTTGCTCACTGTGCCTTGGGGGCCCTTGAAAGAATTGCTGGGAGAACCCCTAACCTACCTGAGAAGCACAAAAGGTACTAAGTTTGGTTAGCCTCTAGTCTCCGAAAAGTTCTTTCGAGCCCCGGGATTCATGCTTTACTTGAGGTTTGGAGCAAAGAAACCTTGCAGACCATGGTCCTGAGGTTCAAGGTGTTGGGCTTTGCAGGTGGTTTTCAGGTTGTACCTGTTTGTAAACCCAGCACCATGCTGCGCAAAGCGCTCACAGTAAGTGTAACACATCTGGCTACGTCTCTTAACCTCCGGAACTTGAACCTCCAAGCCCACCAAACCTTAGCCTATAACCCAAGCCTGTAAGGAAACATGCTTATACTGAACTGAAGGTGATGCTCAAAACACCCCTTGACCATTATAGACAAAGTTTTTAATCATCGCATTCGGAAAAATGCCACCTCATGAAGCCGCAGACTCGAGGCCGCATCTGCTGTCCTATGGGGCTCTTCCAGATTTGGGCTCTTCTGCTTCGGCTTAGGATTTCGGGGTAGGGTTCGAGGGAATTCCGATAATGGGTGCATAGGGCTGTCTTCGAAACGCCTGAGTACGATTTAGCTTTGTGTTGAACCAAATCTCTGAAGGAGTGACCCCAACGAAGAGTGGCCCCGAAAGCGAATTCGAGGCAGGCCTGCACTTGCGGGAGCAATTCTTGCACGAACCCCGCAGTGCTGGCAAGAATGTTGTGGTAGAACAGCACATCCAATGTAGACAGGCATAGATCAAGTGAGAGCTGCTGTTTCTTGGATTGGATAGCTGACCCAGTGTGTCTGTGCTATATGCTACAGAAGAGACAAGACCGACCGCAGTGCCAAGAGTTTCACGCTGCCCTGACAATGCAGACGCCCGCTGCCTGCTTGCAACAACAGTGCAAGCTCACACCATCGGCTGCGAATCTTCCACGCTTTCAGCCTGGTGACTGCCGGGACCCACGTGGCGCGAGATCAAGCTCGTCAGCCTTCCTTGCGAGATGACTGGCCGTCGCTGTAGAAGCCCACGTTTGTAAACCAAGGCTCTTGGCCGGTTGAGTCAAGAGTGGTTCGTGCCGTGGGTCGTTGAAGTTACCGGTCCTCCAGCCTGACAGACGAGGCAGCAAGCAGCCTTTGTTCTCTTGGGCCAAGGCCAGGCAGCGCCCCGAAGGGATTCAGTTTTGTTTGCCTGGAGGGTGTTCCCCTTGAGCCATCGCCGCGTGCCGCTTAGCAGCAAACCCAGCACCAGCGAGTGCGCTCGGCACTGATCTTGTAGCCCCAGACCCCCCGATTCTTGGAATGAGACCGTGTCAGTCTGGCCTTTCTCGAAGCGACCTATCACTACTGCATCTATACCGTTGCTTCCTGAAAACCAGGACTGTTTAGGTAGTGACAGAGTCCCGCGGTTGGATCAACGGATACGCCCTGTTTAGTTGAGTATAGTTGAGTGCCGCGAAGCGGCCAAATTCGATCGCTGGTTCTGAATAAAGACAAGGGCTGAAATGATTTCTTACTTCGTGGCTTGTGCATTTAGGTTCAGGTTTCACCTCGCAAGACAATGAATATAAGATAAACTCAGGAGGTGTACGGTCCGTGTCGTAGAGAGACAGAGGTGGACAGCCACCGATACTGACATACGCATTCTCTGCCTAACCGCAGAGGAAATATTGCGACACATCGCGCTTAAGCCCTAAACATGCTTTCCTAGGTCCGTGCGTAGTACCCTTTTGCCCTATTTAGTTGGGGGTCCCCTTATTAAAGCCAAATATTAAGAAAAAGGGTACCCTTATTATTAAGGGGTTACCGGAACCAAGTTTCAGCCCTTGCGTGCTGAGCTGGACCTGGAGCCATTTTCTCCACTCCGTTTTTTCCCGGAAAAGGCGTGTGCAGCGATGTGCTATGGATGCTTCGGACGAGTAACAAGCCAGCTTCTGAACAGAAGCACCGTTGCCTTTCGAGCCATAGCTCCAATAATACCTGAGCCAGAACTTGTTGTTATGTGGCATTGAAGAGCCACAAGAATCGGCAGCCGCCACTCTCAGAAGCTGAATCGTGGAATCTTCGAGTCGGAGGATTCCAGCATTTCTTTTGGCTTACAGCAATTCCTTCAATTCGTGATTTAAATTGTTTGCTATTGCATCCATTCCCATTCGGGCTAAGCTGTCACTGCGAAACTAAACCCAGCAGACTTCCAACCTCTTAAGTGAGGAATGGTTTCCTCGGGCTATCGCAGGGAGTTGAAGTATCAAGGGTCCTACCACGGCGACTACGGGGTATGGAAGTCTTTGGGAACAGAGGTTTGAAAGGAGCGTTCTCCTGGAGCGCGTGTGGCCGTGCACAAGTCATACCGCGTGACTCCTTACAGGATCCATCACCTGGACTTGGAAGCTTAGGGTTTGCCCTTCAAGATCTACCTATGTCCAGAAAGGTTCTTTGTAGTGACAGTGTAAACAAGCAGGCCCCATCTGGTTATTGTAGAGGGGATGTACGTAGTGTTTGGGGTTCAGAAATGGACAGGGAATGTGCTGGGCAATGCATTGTGGCTGACTCTTCGTCGTCGACTGCCTTGTGTTTTCAGAAGAGAAACAAACGCCTTGGAGACCCTTACGGCAAAAGCCCCAAGTTCAGATCGGGGAAGCGACAGATGGGATACATGCTGTACAGAGCAATTGCCCGGAGGCATGGCAGTCGTGATGCTTCGCGGGAAAAGGACTGCTGTTGCCTGGGGTTTGTGCTTGGACTCCCTAAGCCGCCAAACCCTCGTGATTACAGGGCTCCGGGTTGAAAGGTCCGTGTTGATCGTTAGTGTCATGGCACCTGCAAGGGCGTCAGTCTGCTCCGAGCATGTGAAGTATCATTTGTCTGGCTATGTTCATGAAAGAATCCACCGTTACTTGTTCTGGCTACTCTTGGTTGTTAACGTTAATTCCTCGATCGTGCCGACACAATTAGCGATTAGCACTCCGACTATTTGTGGATCTTCTCAGGTCTGTGTCCTACTATGTTACTTGACACTCCATCATTATGCTGCTCTTATGTTGTGTGACATGAACATCCTGTCTAGAGCCGGTGAGAAGCAGCCAGCCGAGCAGGCGTGTACATTTCCGCTAGTAGATCAGAATCGTGAAGTCGATTGATGCTTCCTTTCTTTCGACGTTGCCACGGGCCGCGTGGATGTCGTGTCCTGGGCCGTCATACTCCGGCACTGCGGAGGAAAGCCCTGTGAAAGTCAATGCTGTGGTAAGTGCGATCTTCTTGAATTCTTGTCATCTAGTTTAGTAGCGCGATCATTATGCTTTCAGTTGCTCCGCGTAGATCTGATCATAATCAGTTCCCCTCTCCGGAGAGTGCACGTGAGGAGGGTCGTTTCGATAAGGATCCAGTCGACGGGAAGAACACCAATATGTGGATGGCATATAATCTTATATAATATATTGGGAGGTTGCCCAGCAGCTGTTTCCCAAGGAAGCAAAACGGCTTTCGTTCCGATGTGGGGAAGAGTTGCGATTTGCATTGGCTGCATTGGGGTAGCCTTGCTAACCCTGCTGTCACCATGGCAGCGCCGATTTAGCTGGGCCCCTGCAGGATCTGCTTTGGCCGATTCCGGCAATGCTACCCCTGCTGCGCAGACTGACACCAGACCACCGTGTCAATTCTGTCCTCCCGTGGACGCGCTACATGTATGGAAGTCTTCCGACTTGTCCGTGAGAGCGGATCTGGAAGTTCTTTGGCCTGCAAACGGCACTCTGGAAGTGAGCGTCGACAAGGAGGTTCAAGCGCTGGTAGTCGCTCAGTCATTGAAGAGTCTCTATGCGTCACCGTTTGTGTTCGCGTGGATCCGCTCGTCTGACGACAGCCTCCTGGCAGCTGAAGCTGGCGTGCCTGTGCTGGTGAAGTTTGGGAGGCGTTCGAGAATGATTGAGAAGTGGCTTCTGAGCTTCAGCCTGAAGGATCCCGGCCAATATACTGTAGACTCCCTAAACCCTAAACCCTTCGCCAGGCTTGTCCGAGTTGTGAGAGCGTAAACCCTAAACCCCTGAAGGATCCCGGCCACTATACTGTAACCTTCCTGGCGGTCGTTCCTTCGCCGGAAGCCAATATTTCTGATCCCCGGGCCTTCAAGATCCAACTTGTGGGCAGCCCACAGACGCTCAAGGTGTCCGAGGCATCCGAAACTTCTCTCATAGAGTATCCCGGATATAGTATCCCCGCAGAACGCCCCTGTGATATCCTTCATTATGGTGATCGGCGTCTTGTTTTTTGCTATTCGTGCTTGTCTGAACTTTAAACGTGCAGCCAAGAAGAACAGGCCTAGAAAGAGGCGCGTCAAGTCGCAAATCCAAGAGATCAGATAGCCGGGAGCCGAAAGCCCGCAGCTTGCGTTAGGCTTCTTTCTTCTAGCCTTAAGTCTAGTGGACTTATAGATATAGCAAGTGGTCCACAGCAGGGTGGCGGAGGTGATGGAGAAGCCACTGCTGTGAGAGATCTTCCACTGCGCGCCTGCGAACTTGGGACTGACGAGCCCCTTTCCTCTACCTCAGATCTGGAGCTTAAGGTTCAAAAGCTTATTGGATTTAGGATGATTTAGGGTTCAGGGTTTGGTTTCGGGGGCATAGGGTTGTCGAGGAATGTGCCCGTCGGGGCCTGTTCTAGGTCCCAGGTTCCTGCGCTTACTTGGTCGGGGAGTGTAACAGTCTGAGGCTTGGTGTTTCGGGTTTAGTTTTTGGTTTCCTATTTTTCAGGGTTCGGGGTGGAAGTGGGGTCCCCTTGTTTTGTTTTGTTTTTTGACGAATATCGAAAATTTTCGCGGGGGCTTCAGGCTAGAGCGCATTTCGGGTTTTGAGAACTTTGCTGCCGCTTGCGGCTGCTCGGGACGCTAAGGCTGATGGGCAGATGGGTGCGAAGCCTCAGCGATGGGAACAGCTCCTGTGGCCTAGTTCGCCAATGTACAACCTTGAAGCTTCCTGCGTTCTAAACTCTGAAATCTAGAGTCGAAAAAGTAGGGTTTATTCCTCCACAATTTTGCTTTCTCGGGTATTGGCGCAATAAGGTGGGTATTTGGGCTGCCCTCGGGACGGTTGGACCTTCGTTTCTGAGAACTGCTATTGGAAGGCCTACAATCCGGAGGAGGCCCTTTCAATCGCAGAAACTTTGCGTTTTTTGGAAAGATCTTTTCGGTTTTGCTCACAATACTGACGACAAGTGCTATCATTACAGGCATGTGTAATTGTGCATATATATATACATATATATACATATATATATACATATACATATATATATATATAGATAGGGTACTGGATCGAGCGGTCCGACAGCGGGCCAGCATAGCCAGGCACCCCAAGTGCCACGAGGCACGAAGGGTTTCCTTTGAAGCCATCGCGGCCTCCTCCCCGCCCTGGCACCGAAGGCAACGGAAACAGAGGTCCGTCGCCAGATCGAGGATCTGGGCTGCTAGGAGGCAGGGAAAGCCGCCTCCCAGAAGATCCCTGCGGCTGCTCCTGCAGCACCACTCAAAGCCGAGGTACAGAGAAGCTGACCGGCTAATGGGCCGTGGCAAGGCGAGCAAGCCACACAGCGGCCGAGCATGGGACTACGGCCAGTGGAACCGAGAAAAGGGCGGAGGCAAAAATTCGTGGAGGCAACAGCCTTCCTCTTCCTCGCAGCAGTGGGACTGGTCCTGGAGCCGATGGGACCAGGCGGACGACGAGGATGGGCCCACATTCCCGTCGTACACCATGATGGCTGCCGAGCCAGAGGGCAGACGTGGTGGCATGGCGACCGAGGAGAAAGTGGAGCAACCTCGTCTGGAGCTGGCCAAGGGCTACCAGAAGATGGTTTCAGCTGCACGAAAAGCCGAGGTCCGCATGCGGAAGGCGATGGAGGAGCAGGAGAAGACACAGGCCAGATGGCAGAAATTCCAGGACAAGCTCCAGCAGGCTTTCATCAAAGAGAGGGCCCTGTACAAGAAAGACCTGGCGAAATGGGACGAAGAGATCGAGCTGCAGCGGTCGCAGCAGAAAGAAGCCCTTTTGGAGCTGAGGGCGGCGATCGCCAACCCGGAGAAGCTGAAGGAGAAGCCCACACCAAGCGAGGAGGTCCCGGAGGAAGCTGCAGAGGAATGGCTGCAGCTACTGGAGACGTGCAACCGGGACTTGGACGAGGAGATGACGGAGGCAATGGCGGCAAGACTTGGCAAGCAGCTGCAGTGCTTCCTGGAGACCCCGACCACCCCGCCGCGGACGACGAGGAGTGGTATGGCCAGGACACCGAGCTGCCCAAGACCTGCTACCAGCAGGGCCACGCCCGTCTCGACAGCTTCATGGACAAGGCGATCACTTTGGCCAAGCAAAAGCAGGAGATGGCGAGCTACCAAGGGGAGCCGGACGCGATCATGAAGGACCCATATGTCACCTCGCCGGGCACGGGTGTGGAAAAGCCACCTGTGGAGACAGTTACACCGAGGAGGAAGACGGTGACACCGCGAACAGCCATCAAGCTAAAAACCGCAAATGTATACATATATATATATATGTGAGAGAGAG